TCTCAAAATATTGTCAATTACATAGATAGAACTTTTTATTTAAACACGCTAACCATTGTCAACCTAGGCTGATTTCCACAAGGGGCGTGGAAATCAGCCTAGATTGACGTTCTGCTTAATATGAATTATTTAGGGTTGTTGCAATTTATTTCGTATTCTCATTTTCGTTAGGCTACGTTTCACTTCTCTCTGACTTTTTAGTTTAAAAATTGTTTCTCACCCCTCGGCATGCATAGAAAATTCAGGACATGCGCCCGCAATATATCTCAGCGGTTTTTCCTCTGAAAAGTTATTCATACCTAACAAACGCAAGTTTTAACTAAAAAAATACATTTTGCTTAGTTTTTTGTTTAACTAAAGCAGAAAAATAGATATAATAGGTACTGTCGGCCTTTTACATACCTTTCATTTATTATGATGGGATATAAAGTGATGCGCATGGTAAACGACTCAAATATTTTGTGTATACATCGCTATCCCTCTGTGTAACCCGCACTGGAAGAAAGCCTGGTTCCTAAGCTTCTTGTTGATATCAAACATGGACGACAATTCATTAAACATCGTTCTTCTTGCAATGTTTTACGGTCTATGGACAGGGTATTTATGGGTAAAATATCAACATTTTGTCCCGTAAATTGGAACAAGTTAAAAAATTCGTATCACTATGAAATTATGTAGACAAGCAGGGGACAACATATATTTTACGACGCGAAGTCTGCAAATTTCACGAAGGGTTCGAGGGATACATGCGGCCAGAGCAAAATGTACGTTTTCAACGATTTTCTCAAGTTTTATTATACTTTATTATATGCCGATGTAGTATGAAGTGAACTTGAATAATGGAACAACTTATAGGTAAGATTTCGATGCGAGACTTTTCTGTTTTATGGTCCGGATATAATTTATAATATTGCGATGTCTGCAAATGACATAGCTATTATCAAACACGTTTAAATTGAAAAAAAACGCGCCACTCCTAATGATTTATATATAACAAATCCGCCATTTTGTTTGAGAAAGTTCGCACATGCTCAGAATCCATGTCCGAAATTTCTGGCCATGTGTGCGTTTATGCACATCTTTCAGAAGTACTCTATCATTGGGACTTCGTTTTTTTTGAAGTGCAAGTAAAATTATTAGAGCAATCTGGAAGTTAGGGTTGGTCAACGCGTTCGGAGGGCAATGCAATTATCCTTACAGTCAAACCGAATGTTTGTTTCCGCGGAATATTGCAAGATTGCTGTCATTCAAAAAATATTCACTAGTTAATTCCACTCTGCAAGTTGCGACCGAGTTGCGCAAGTTCCTAATACTCGTGTTCCGAACAAAATGTAATTTTATCGCAATGTTTCAAGACGTAGTTTCTTATCTTAAAAGTAGATTTGCCTGCTTCTTTACCAAGGAACCTATAAAAATATTTATGAAGGGTTGCTAGATGAGATTAAGGAAGTTCAGTGTTCCATGTAGTAGAAATATTCCGTCCGAGCGAATTCGTGTCGCGTACAAAGATATCAATCTGTCAACAAATCGAGAGTCTAACGAAGGAATTTTTATCAATATTTCGCCTGAAGAAAGTTTGATTCTAAAAGAAGCTTTCCGGAATGCCTACGACTGCGTTTCAGAGTCATTTAAGAGAGTACATTTAAAAATAAGAGAAATATATTCTCCGTCTATTGCAAAAAATCGTCGTGAAGTCTACCTGAACTCGGATGTTGACCAAGCAACGTCAAGCAAATAACTCGCTGAATCATGTTGGACAGCGTGTTGAGCTCACAAATTGCAAGAAACGTAGGCGTATCGGCCTGGGGAGATGGGGGGGCACAATGCCCCCCCCCCCCAAATTTTTACGGTCGGGCAGAAATCCATGCGTCATTCGCGCAAAACGTAAAAATGTCGGAAGAAATATGATCAATATTAGGACAAATTTTTTGATATATCCAGAATTTTTTTTGTCTGTTTACGAAAATTACGGGATATAAGGGAAAATTTTCGGGTACGTCCGGGAAAATTTTTTTTGTGACTCCCCTCCCCCCCCCCACGCTCGCCAATAATTTTGGGGAGAAATATTAATTAGCAACGGTCGGGCGAACTAATACTGTGCCCCCCAAACAAGATTAGCCCCGTACGCCCATGGCAAGAAACTTGGATTTCAAAGCGTCGAGATAAAGCCTATTGTAGTCAAAGAATGGAAAAAGAACAAAAAGAAAGACATTATTACTCAGATTGAAGATCGAGAAAGTGAACTTTATGCGGTTGAAGCTCAACTGGGAGAAATGGACAGGCCTATATTGGAACCACCGCATTCTGGAAAGTATAAAACTATAGTTTGCTTGAATTGTCATGTCCTTGGCCATCGGTCAGAGGGTAATAAAAACAATGTTACTTGTCCACAAGAACCTTGCAATTCCTATATACGTTGTGGCCAGAAGAAAAAGAACATCTGGAGCATTTCGAAGAAATAATGAAAGTCACGAAACGCTGTAACCAACTCAAATCAAACATTGACATTCCAAGGCAAGACAAACATAATCTTGCAGCTTTTGAGTCAAAGTCAATCTCGGCATTTACTACCGCAGTAAAAAACCCTTTATCAAAGCTTTTCGTGACCCTTGTGGCGAAATCGACAATATTGATAAAAGAGGGTATCGTGAGAATGCTAGCACTGTAAATCTCGCGGTGTTGCGGCAACACCAAAAAGGTGTAACATTACACTGATTAGGTGTAACGCGGAATTAAACACTGTTCGAGTGTAACATTACACTTCCACAGTGTAGCTTTACACTATTTTAGTGTTTTGGTAACACTTACTAGGTGTAAAGTAGAAAATACCCTATTTACACCTAATTTGGTGTAGATTTACATTATAACGGTGTAACCTTACCTCTTCTTCCTGTTAATTTAAGCTTTGCGATGGTGTAAATATACACTTATTTCGTTAAAATATGCCAACACTTGCGAAGTGTAAATTTACACTTTTCCTGCCGTATTATTACACCTAGAATGCGTTAAAATACACTGAGCTGCGGTGAAGTAGAAACGAATGTATTAATTATTATTGCGGTGTAAATTTACCCTTAACTAGTGTAAATTTACCCAATGATTGTGTATGAGATAACACCATAATAATGTAAATATACACCGGTATGGTGTAAAAAATATGAATGCTTACTTAGTGTAAATCGACACTGACCTGGTGTATAATTACACTAAGACCATGTTAAGATACACTGATGTAGTGTAAAGAAGAACCCGTAGTATTGACACCATTTATGCTGTAAATTTACCTTCAAGCGGTGTAAACTTACCCAATTCTTGTGTATGAAATAACACCTTGATTGTGTAAATATACACCGATACGGTGTAAAAAATATGAATGCTTACTTAGGGTAAATCTACACTGGACCTGGTGTATAATTACACTAAGACCATTTTAAGATACACTGATGTGGTGTGAAGTAGAAACTGAAATATTAACGTACACCTATACTATGCTGTAAACTTACCCTCAAACTGTGTCAATTTAGCGATCTAATTCTCCTGTATGAGACGACACCATGATAGTGTAAGGTGTAAACATACACCAGAATTCGAATAGTGTAAAAGTTTGTATGGGGATCAAAATATACTGACCGGCCTGCCCTTCACATTAGGGCTTTCTGAAAAGTCGGTGTAAAAACGTAAAGCAGAAAATATTTTATAAGACACCTTTAAACGGTAACTTAAACGGTGCGTTTTGTAAGGTGTGCCATGCAGACCTCACATTGTTCATGTTTTATTGCAATCTGTTACCTCCATATATTAAGTTTTCCCAATCTAATCTTTTTTTGGTGGTCCCTTTCTAGTTACTTACAATACAATATAATTTATTAGTTAATCCCCATAAGGGCTTTTCATAACTAATTTACAAAGAAGTGTAGTAATATGATATTTACATGCAATTATTTAGAACATATGTTAAAAAGATAGATTGTCTGTAGCTAAACTAGAATTACTGTATATTACGAGGACTATTAAAAATTAATTCTGTCTATTGATTAACTCTGTTCGTACGGCCTTCTTAAATCCTCCTAGAGTTGAAATGTTTCGAGTCGAAAGATCAAATGAGTTCCACAGCAGTGCTGCATGATTAAAAAAGGATCGCTTAGCTTTAGATGTTCTACATCGTAATATGTTTAAGTCATTTGCCTGCCTAGTAAAGTGATTATGAACTTGCGAAC